AGCGTGAACCAAAAGGGGTTGAGAAGCCAAAGAAAATTGCTGACAGATCGAGCCATATTACTTTTTCAATTGACTCGCACCGCTTCTGAATTAAACGGTTCGCGGATTTATCGAGCTTCCGCATCGGCGCTCTAACGCTGGGAGGCCTGGCATAAATGGAGTTCCACTGTGTAATCTCGTCGTAACGCCGGATAGAACTTACCCCAGATGCCTGGATCGTCGAAGCAACTGTGATGGTTCGAAATGGTGATGAGAGGAACATTTTTCGGCCGGCAGTCTAGCGCCCGTGTCATAATATGCTTGTTGTACACCGTCGCTTTGTTTAGCCATTCTTAAACAGCACGAATAGAAAACAAACGCTTCGGTAAATTAACTCGCATTTCCAGGAACAGAGGGCTGCGACGCATAGGTATCGAAGCATGGGACGCGTTCAACACGTTGAATGCCACCGGGGGTCACCGGTGAGCGGCACTTCAACTTGGCGGTGACGTCATGGGGGCCACCGGTGACCGGCGCGTCCAAATTGATAGGAATATATATATATATATATATATATATATATATAATTTAAATTAATTATATTATATAATTTAAAACAAATGTCAATATCTAAAATTTTGTATTATTACCATCGTCGATTCGAACAGTGACCCCTGTCGCAATTGACATGTCAAACATGATTATACACTGTAACTTATCTATTGCAGATAATATTTCAACATTATATGTATCGCATAAAAGAAAATTCATCGTGGCGCCACGGGCAATTTCTGTGAAACCGGCGTGACATTCGAAACGTGTTAACACCCAAGAAATATAGTTCAAATGTTATTTCAGTTTTCTTTAAAACGGCACCAAAGTGGTACCGCTGGCATACAACAGATAGTTGAGCCGTTCATTTTGAAAGTGGCGTAAGTCACTTTACCGTAATGAAAAGTGGTGACTTTTTAATGTTTATACGAAATTATTTATACTGAGAAAAATATCAGTATCCTGAGATATAACAAATACAAGTAAACCTTCTCGAAAGTTAGCATCCATATTTTTAAACGTGTTGAAACGCAAACCCTTAAATAGAATATATTTAAGTCGATATTATCGACTTAAAAACAAAGTGACTTGTGCCACTTTCAAAATAAACGGCTCATATCTTGACATTACGCGGTGGCAAATGCGAACGGCGGCCGAGGAGCTTGCAAAAAGGATTTTCGTTTCACTTACACAGTTACTTCAGTTTTCTCGATTTGTCCGATCTTCTTATTTTTCATGTTGTAACTTCGCGCGAAGGAGAAACTATATTATTATTCATTCGGCGGGAGCAATTTAATAATAGTATTGTTTAATTTAATATTGTTTATTATTATTTAATTTAATACTATTTATTATTATTTAATTTAATACTGTTTATTATTTATTATACTATTTATTATTATTATTTAATTTAATACTATTTATTACTATTTATTATTATATATTATTTATATTATATAATACTATTTATATATTATTAGTACTATTTAATTTAACACTATTTATTATTATCTTATTTAATACTATTTATTATTATCTTATTTAATACTATTTATTACTATTTTATTTAATACTATTCATTACTATTTAATTTAATACTATTTATTATTATAATATTATTTATTATATAATAGTATTTATATATAATTAGTACTATTTAATACTATTTAATATTTAATTTAATAATACTATGTAATTAGATTGCGGACAACAAACGTCGTCTGTGCAAATCGCAAGACACAGAAACCACCTGCAACTTTCTTTCTTTTTTAAATTATTTTAACAAGATGAAGTTATTATATCAACATTCTTACATTCTTTGAATATTCTCATTACGTTCAATTTTATCACGAATGCATAAAATCCGCAGAGGCTAACAACACGTAGACCTCGAATTTTCATGCTCTTAATGACTTATGCCACTTTCAAAATAAACGACTCAGTTCTATGCTCAACACTATGCCACCGGACGGCATACTGTTAATTAAGATAATCTCTCTGTATAGACTTATCCGCCCGAAAAAGGCGGGACGCGAAGTAAAGTGTCCCATGGGACGGGTACGTACAACAGGTGACAACGACTTTCGTCACCGTTTCACCAGACTCCGTTGGTCAAGGTGTTTACACGAGGAGCAAAGGTTCTCATCGCGATCGTTCGCCCGCGAAACGTTCTGCTGCTCTGTTCTCTGCGCTCCTGATACTTTTTCCCTGTTTCTTTTTATATCTCGGGTTTTTGTGCCCGCCGCGATCGCTTTTGGTACGCTCGAACGCGACACTACGAAGGAAAAGACCCCTAGACGGTTGGGCATTTAGTTACTTCCGGTTGGCACGCCATTTATCGTCTCTTCATTCTGTCGTCGCACGACGATGGAAACCGCCTTATTTCTAACACCGTTTGTTCCATTGAGTACATTCGCTTCGTTGAATGGCCCGCTGGAAACTTAAATTATGTCTCGTTATTGTTATCAACAAAACTGGCCTAGTGCGTACGCTCTGTTAGAGAAGCTCTTTATCGCCGGTTCTTAGGTGGACAAATAATTGTTTTACCGCGTTATGTCGTATTTCCATCATTAGCGTTTGTTCAGTATTTTTGTATTGTTTCAACAATGTGAAACGTTGGAACATCGTCTGCTCTCTCATTAGAGACATTTTTCTATAATTTATGTTGCTGCATTCGACTCGGCGCGGGGCTACAATAATGTCTCCCTTACTGACGCTCAGATTGTGCAGAAAAATGGACAATTTGGGAAGCGGAGATACGATTATTCGAGCCTTGCGGTGCGTTTTTATAGTTTTGAATTGTCAACAACTATAAGAACGAGGTTCGAATAATTCGAATAATCGTATCTCATCTTCTCAAATTGTCCATTTTTGCGCACAATCTGAGCGTCAATTAGGGAGACATTACTGTAACTGCAACTGGAAGCAATAAAAAGATTGAAAGCCCATATTACTGCGATATGCATTATTTGCAACGAATTTACTTTGTTAAAGAAAGAATGATATCTCCAAGTGACTTACGTCTTTTGCAATAGCAGCAGACAATTTTTATTTCGCACAAAGATCCGCAGTCTACCGATGACGAAGCGATGCGCGCGAATTTTCGTAAGCGAAAATGTCCGAGTAGCGTGGAAAACGCTGCGTTGCGGGCCTGGTACAGTAATGTCTCTCCAATTGACGACTCAGATTATCCACGAAAATGGACAATTTGGGAAGAGGAGATACGATTATTCGAGCCTCGCGGTGCGTTTTTATAGTTTCGAACTGTCAACAACTATAAGAAAACGAGACGCGAGGTTCGAATAATCGTATCTCCTCTTCTCAAATTGTCCATTTTTGTGTGCAATTTGAGTGTCAATTGGAAGAATTTACTGTACTTGGAATAATTCTAAACTATAAAAACGAACCGCAAGGCTCGAACAATCGTGTCTCCTCTTCCCAAATTGTCCATTTTTGTTTCCAAGCCGGGCGTCAGTTAGGAAGAATTTGCTGTATAGTAATGTCTCCTTAATTGACGTCGAAATTATGCAGAAAAATGGACAATTTGGGAAGCGGAGATATGATTATTCGAGCCTTGCAGCTCGTTTTTATAATCGTTGGCATAATTCGTTGACTATAAAAATAAACCGCAGAGCTCGAATAATTGCATCTGCTCTTCCTAAATTGTCCATTTTTCTGCGCAATCTCAGCGTCAGTAAGGGAGACATTACTGTACGTTCTCGTGTTTTTGGTCTTACGATTTCGTAGCATTTCGAGCTGCCAGCAGAATCGGGTCATTCTACGGGAATATTCTAGTCGTAATAAAACTAACGTTGGAGAGCGCTTACAAAATTCATCGTCATTTTTGTAAGACCCTCCGAGAGCGAAAGTATGGTGTACTATATATGTACAGCTATGTACATATATATATATATTTACTCATTTTTTTAAGCTTTCCCTCATTTCGATTATCCATTTCGACAACCTAGGTTCAATAGTCATTCGACTGATATATATATATCAGTCGAATGACTATTGAATTAAAATCGTTGAATTTCAGAAAGCCGCCTTGAATTCTTACATTATAGTCGAGATAAAAACCGGAGGTCATTTATTTATTCAAGTATAGTCCTCGATAACCATGATCGTTAGACCTGTATTATTCAGTCAAGATAAACAAAGATATAGTGTACATAAATAATTATAATTCCGATCGTAAGAGAATGATATTCATTTATGAACGAGTATCAGTTACATATATTCTTACATCATTTATTTATTCAAGTATAGTCCTCGGTAACCATGATCATTAGACCTGTATTATTCAGTCAAGATAAACAAAGATATAGTGTACATAAATAATTATAATTCCGATCGTAAGAGAATGATATTCATTTATGAACGAGTATCAGTTACATATATTCTTACATCATTTATTTATTCAAGTATAGTCCTCGGTAACCATGATCATTAGACCTGTATTATTCAGTCAAGATAAACAAAGATATAGTGTACATAAATAATTATAATTCCGATCATGAGAGAATGATATTCATTTATGAACGAGTATCAATTACATACATTCTTACCAGTTTGTTTAATAAATTATATTAGACTGCTGCTTCTTTTTCATTTTTTTTAATTCTATTATTTATTCTATAATTATTATTATATTATTATTATATAATATAATAAATTATTATTAAATAATATATTATTATTATTATTATTATTATTATATTAAATAATAATAATAATTATTATTATTATTTTTTA